GGGGGACACGCGTGGCCCGCCGTGCGCCATGGTGGCTCTCCGGCGTGGCAGTGACAGGCGGGGAGGTGGCGGGCAGGGAGACACCGCCGCGGAGGGCGGGGGCGGGGGAGGGTTGTAACCGGAGCGGGGCTCGCGCGGCAGCGGCGTGCGCGGGGCTGCGCGCCCAGCCGGGGCGGCGCCGCCATCTGCTGGCCCGCGCCGAAACGCCGCGCGGCGGGGATTCTCGGAGCGGGGCGCCGCGGCACCGGGACGCGGCGGGTCGGACCGCGGGTCGCCGTCCGGCGTACGGCGGGTTGTACGGGGGATCGCGCGCTGCGTTGTACGGCGGGGCGCGCAGCGGATCGGGCGCTGGGACGCACGCCGGGACACACGCGCCGTCCCCGCAGTGAGCCACGCGTTGTGCTGTACAGCAGGTCGCACGCCGTGACGCTGGCCGTATTATGCGCCGAGTCACACATCGTGTTGCACATCGCGTTATAAATTGGGTTACAGACGGGGGGACGCGCTGTCACACATCGGGTCACACCGCAGGTCACGCATCAGACCACACCGTGTCTGGTACTGCTGGGACCTCACCTGGAGCACTGCGTCATGATGTGGAGTCCTCGGTGCAGAAGAGACGTGGAGCTGTTGGAGAGCATCCAGTGGAGGAACACAAGAATGATCGACAGGATGGAACATCTCTCCAACAAGGACAGACTGAGAGAACTGGGGCAGTTCAGTCCGGAGAAGGCTCCAAGGTGACCTGAGAGCGGCCTTTCAATGTCTAAATGGGGGCTGTAAGAAAGAAGAGGACAGACTCTTTAGTGGGGTTTGTGGTGACAAAGGGGACATGGTTTCAAACTAAAAGAGGAGAGATTTAGACTGGATATAATGGGGAAAAAAAATCATAATGGTGGTGAGGCACTGGCACAGGTTGCCCAGGAAGGTGGATGCCCCATCCCTGGAGACAGTCAAGGTCAGGCTGGACAGGGCTATGAGCAATCTGATCAAGCTGTAGGTGTCCCTTTTCATTGCCAGGAGAGCTGGACTAAATGGCATTTAAGGATCCCTTCCAAATCAAATGATTCTGAGTCTATGGTTCTGTGTCACCCACCATGTTGCACACCAGGCTACACATGGTGTCACACACCAGGTCACAGGCAGGGGCACACATGGGGCTGCACACCAAGCTACAGCCATGCTGCCCACACCCTGTATTCCAGCTGCCAATGTGCAGGCATCATCAGCCCACATGTGAACACTCCCACTGGGCAGGTCTGCAGCACTTCCAGCCATCCCCACTACCTGCCTGTCACTGTAGGCCATCTGGCAAGCAGGCATGCCCAGCCAGGGCGGAGTTTGGCTGTGAGTCCTGAGAAGGTGCAGCAGGAGAGTCAGGAGGGAGCTGTGTTAGGGGCCAGAAAAGAAAACAAAACCTGTATCTACTCTTTTACCCATACCATTTACAGGCCTGGGATGCCTAGCATCACCTGGCCCCACTCACCAAAAGCTGCCACTGGGGCTCCTTAGGGGGCTGCACGCTAAACTCATTTCTGAAATATTTTATGTCTTATATATGAAGCAAGTATATTGTATATATACTATATATAAATATATGTCTTGATTTCTGGAGACAATATTGAAAGCTTAAAGGGCCTATATTGCTGTACAAAGCCACCTAACGGAATTTAAACACAAGCGTGAGGTGAGAATGATCCTGGCATGCAGATTCCTCACAGCATGTTATCCCTCTAAAGCACTACTCTTGCAGTGAAACACCTGGCTCCAGAGGGCAGAAAGGGAGTTTTCCAGACACAACCCCTTGACTGGCAAACTGGTATCAGCAAGAGATGCTGATAAAACACTCGTTTGAGTCGTAAGTGTTCAGATATCTTCTTCAGGGGTGCAGAAGTCAGGAAGTGACTCAACAACTCACAGAACAGAAAGCCATTCCTGCCGGGGTAGCATCTGCACATGGAGTGTGCCACCTTCCATCTTTTGCACCTCTGCACAGAGGGAATAAGGGAAAAATGCAGTGCTGAGTTTCAGAAAGCCTGGACTAACCACAGTCATACCAACCGATAGAAGGGTGATCTGTACATTACTAGGAAGTGAGCAATTTGGGTTCTGGCATCATCTCCCACGAAACCGTGAAGATTACTCAACATTTGTATAATAATCTCAAAATGCTCAGAATAGAAGGAAATCCCTACAGATTTAAACTGGCATACCACAGCTAATACGTCATCTGACAGTCAGATGGTCCTATGCTTATCAATTTTGCGTTCACACCACCGTGTTCAACAGGTGGGGAGAGCAGAGATGATAACATCCAGGTTGCCAAGGGTCGAGTTCCTTGCACCTGTCAATTACTGACATTTCCTCCAATGAAACTGAAAAACAAAACCAAGAAGCAATCAGTCAATCTAGAGCTAATTGAACTCAATTTCTTACAGCCTTGCATCCTATGGATGCAAGGCCTGCTTGAGTATTTTCAGAATGTCTTTCCCATATATCTCAGTAGACCTAACAAATCCACTTGTCTGTCACCAGCTTGTGCAACCACAACACTTCCTATTTTTTCTGTGGCCTCCTCATTTGCCAGTTTAGCTGAAATTGTCTTACAGGTTGAGAAGATGTTGACCGAGGTGAAGGGAGAGAGACATTGATTGCCCACTGACAAAGAGAAACTAGGCAGGCCTTTTTCTTGCCGAATAAATTAAAAATCTCACCCGAAGGATGCTGAATCAGGGACAAATGGATGTAACTCCTATCTCTCTGCATGAACTGTGAGATTTGAGTACATGGGCATGAACCATTCAACTTACCACAGTGCTTGTCACTAACTGAATCCCTCTGTACCATGCTCTTCAGAGGTCAAGGAATAAATGGAAATGAAGGTAACCTCCCTTTTCTGTGCTTTAGAGAATCATATATATGACCAATGTATGGGCAATGTTAAGAAAATATTTACACCATCTGTGTTTATGCAGCAGAGATTCTTAGGACACAGAGAACTGCAGCAACTAGTTAATGAGCTCTTACCTGGCTGCCTGCTCAATGGTTTTTTGAGCTGTTTTGACATCAGACAGATCAATCCAATAAATAATGCATATTTAGTATACCAGTAATTCACAATGATAAAGTGTTGTAACTCTAGACTAGGGACATGGCACCAACAGCACCTGTTGCCCTGTATCACTACTGTGTAGCTTATTAAGTACAGCTCAAAGTACCAGAATGGAGCCTGTTGGAAGAGAAGGCTGAGGTCTGCAAAACTGAAAAGGGAATTTCATGGTATAAATCCCATTCCTTTCATTCCAAGTCCAGTAGGTAAATCCCCTCTTAACATTTATTTGTTTTGTTCAAGTTTAAGGATTCCTAAAACAAAAATCTTTCCAACATTTCTGCCACCTTTTATCTCTCCTATAAACCCTGACCCAGCAAATAGGCTCAGACAAACAGAAAGACAAATAGCCTTGTATCAGACACCTCTGAGCTCTTCTAATCCCAGAATGGAAATAGAAAAAGCTTGAAAAAGAATTAGTGCCTTGTAAATCTAAGACAAATTTCTTCCTGTTAATGGCAGAATTATTAGTGCTATGCTAATAAAGTCTGCTCAAATTTTTATTGACTGTCAGATTAGATTAAGATTAAGAGGACTTCATTTAACCGCTTTATTTTTGCCAAGTTCATTTGTGATCAAACACTGAAAAGTATTACAAAAAGTCACAAGTCTTCTTGAGCAGAAACCAAGACACCATGCTAATCTTCCTGTCATTACTGGATGTAGGAAGTACTCGTGCAAATAAAAATATCAATAAATTTGTTGTATGTTTAAGGCAGCCTTTTAAACACAGTAGAGCAAGATGGCCTTGTAGGAACAACACAGTAGGAAATCACAGAATTACTCATGCAATCATGAGTATCATACATCAGATAGAAAATGACTGCCTGTTACAGTGACCTGCAGGGTTTTCAACAAAATGCTCATGCACAAAAAGAACTTTGTCTCACGTCTTATCAAAATGCCTGACTCCAGCACAGCCTTTTGGCTCAGTCTGACCATGTTTTAAGCTATTAAATTAATAAATGGCAAAACTTTACTGCAGTATTACCCAACTATCAAAAAACCAAAAGCTTTCCTCTCTGTTAAATGGATATTAATATGTATGATGCCATACCCTCACTTCCTTTATGCCAAACAGCAAACTTTTTATTTAGCAAGGCCTCTCAAGGTCCAAAATGATTTCTGTTTGTATTACTAAAATTACAGAAAAAAAAAATCTTTCTATTGTAAAAAATACATATATATAAATACAGAAAAAATCCAGGTGTCTCTTTTAACACCTTCCTAAGCAACCGTTCCATTTGACAGAATGAAAAAATCAAGCCAGTAACAGACTGATTTTTTTCTCATTAATTCATTGCTTTGTCACTATCAGCTGCTATCTCAGATGCCCTCAGAAGAAAACCACCTTAGTAGCAATAAATGTTTGTTGATAGAAGGACAAAACTTTATGGGTATTTCTGAAGTTGAAAAAAAAAAATTAAAAATAAGAAACAAAAAAGTGAGTAGATGTGTTTGTTCTATGAAAGCCTGCCTGAGCTATAAAGTACACTTTCAATTATCCTATTCAAATTTGAACAATATAAGCAAGGATTTCAATAATAATCAGAGATAATGCAATATACTGAGTGCTGTGTTCAAGTG